TGGGCAAGTAACTTAACCTTGCTAAAGTGAAAGGGTTGGATGAGGTTTCTTCTGGCTGTAGATCTATGATTCTGTGATAAGAGGTGGATTTGGCAACATGCTGCCCATGCCCTAAGGGGAGAGAATCACTATTCTAGAATGGTTAAAAAAAAAAAACCAGAAAAAAAGCCCCTGTTGTCACAGAATCCCTCCATCTCACTTAGAGACTCACCTCTTCCTTAGTATTTCAGATAAAAGAATTTACCTTTAAGCATCATGACTCAAAAAACAACACAAGCAATATAAATGTTACAGCTTAACCCAGTGCCTGGCACATAGTAGGTGCTTAATAAATACTTGTTGAGTTGACAGCTAACTAAAACTAATACCCCTTAACCTTTTTTGATTTCTCATGTGTCTTCCATTTATACAAAACAGTTCCTTTGGGCTCTGATCTTCATTCAAGTGTCAGAAAATAGTCCCTTATGTTTTATACAACACATACTTTTTTCAGTCTGCTTTCACATACATTAGTTCATTTTGGAGGTGGATTTGAAAAAAATTTATAAGGAAACTGAGGCTCAGAGAGGTTAAATGAATTTCTCAAAATTACACACAGCAAGTTAGCGATGAAACCAGAGCTAGCAATCTACCTCCTGATTCTTAAGCATGCCAAAAGTTACACTCTGCTTTGCTTTATTACCGTTACGCAGTGGGGAGAGAGAGGGGAAATGCATGTACACCTACATATATGTGTATATATCTCCAAAGGAGAGAAATAGTTTGGCTTAAGTTAATGATATGGTTTTTAGAATAACCTCCCCTGTAAATAAGTCATTTAAAGAGCACCTCTCTCCTTTACCTCTTCCTCATTTGTTTCTTCCAGCTTACCTGCCTAATCTCAAAGTCCTTAAGTTGTGTGTCAGCCAGCTTACCCTGTAAATTAAATAGTAGCAGCTGTGTTTGGAGTTTCACCACCTCTCAACCAGCCCCCACCTCACATAGTACACACACACACTGCCCCCCCCCTTAGATTTTCTGCAACCATGCCTTTTTCTTTATGCCTGAGCACCTTGCTGACAAGTGCTAATAACAGAATGCCCAGAGAGAGTCCAGTTGGAGTTACCACACATTAAACATTCTGAACTTGTCCTTTGCTCATAGATTGTGCATAATTAATAATTAAACGGTTTCAGTTGTAATGGGTTGACCTTCCTGAACTGTTCATTATTCACAAGGCAAAGACATCACTCAAACTTTTTTTTTCCCTATTGCCCTTCTCTGTACTCTGGAAGCACAAGCCCATTCCAGTTGTGTGTCGAATCAGGCTGACCAAGGACTTACAGAAGCTTCTGAGACTCAAATGCTGTCCTCCTTGATGTCCAGAATTGCTTACTGAAATATTTTATGGCAGCTGTTTTTATATAGCAGTAGCCTGCTCGATAACACGATACAGCTGGATGTTGCCTTTGTGGGGATCTAAAGTTGACTGGGGACCAGCATCTTAGGTTAAAGCTTTTGGTTAAGGTTGTGTCCATTTTTTTCATTCTGTACTTCTGTTTAGAAGTTCAACAAGAGAAAAACATTTTTTAAAAATCTGTAGGATGAAGTATGCCATCCAGGTGTTAAGGAGAATGATTTTTACTAACAGTTTTTGAGGTCTATTCTAGCCATTGTGAGTTATTGAGATATAGATATGTCCCCAATCTGTGTTTGTATTTTTTTAATGTATTTCTTCAAGGACCCCATTAAAAAGGAAGAAAAGAAAATTTTGACGAGCCAACAAAGCCAGTGAATACTTCTCTTATGTCTCTGCACTTCAGTGGCATAATTTTATCATGCCAACTATTTTTATAGTCTTGTGCCCATAGGCTTGGAGTGATTGGAGGCTCCCCCCCCCACCTTCTTTCCCTTGCCCTTAGCTAATTTTAATCTATACTGTATATTTCCTCGGCCCCATTGGAATTGAAATTCGTGAAATATTCTGTAGTTTGTTGTCAGTCTTTCTCATCTTGGCCTAAAAATATTTGTAGTCTGACTCAAGAAAAGGAATGTGGCTACTTTAAAATCTTTCTGCTTGAGATCTGTCAAGCTTGTTGATTTACTTTCCCATCATATCGCTCAACCAATTTTTCACCTAAGGTAAACAGCCCACTTTCTTCTGAGATAGGGGCTTTCTGACTGTTCCCTTATTCCCTGCCTTTGTGTGTCTAAGTCTGATCCCTGATGAGTCATTGAATCTTCAGAAATTGCCCAAGAGGTATGTGTGTTGAAAGCATAGATTTTAAAAAGAAAAGGAATACTTGTGTTTGTTTGAGATTATAATCTGGCCCCCATGCCTTTAGTGAGTGATTTGATTAGTGAGGTTCATTCTAGGCCCAGCTGGGATGAGAATCCACTCACTATGGTTCTGGGAAGTCGACTTGGTTTGGAATTTTCAAAAGCAAAATAAATTATTCATGTGCACCACCCAGTGTTCCTGAGTTTTATATTATGTGCAACTTAACAGGCTACACTATCAGGTCTTAAATAAAATTAACTACCCATGCAAAGATGTCAGATCTGCTTGTTTTGTTTCTCATCCGTGTTAAAAGGACATCTTCATCAAGTTGGCTACTCTATAATTCATTAATTTTGCCTTGGTATCATACTTTGAAATGAGGCCCAAATTAGCATTACATTTTATGCTGGGATCTTTATGGAATGCCACACCAGAATTTTAACAGTCTCTGTAAATATTCAGCGACTTTAAAGAGGTGTTCTCCTATTTGCCTAAACATATCATTTGGGTTTTACTCTTCTCTCTTACTGCCTCCACTCTACCCAAAACCAACATCCAGAAATCAGCAAAGGAATAACTTGAGAGAGAGTCTTTCTGACAAAGCAGAGCCTATAAATTCTTACACCCTGACTTTGAACTGTCTTTTTATTAATGGTTTTTTGAAGCAATGAAATGTCATCTCTTGAACTAGGCCTTGTATAGACTCTCCCAGACTTGGTGATAAATACAGCCTTCCTAAAAGAGGCCCCAGCAGAAATTTGATGCCATGCTTCGTTTTTGCAACTCAAGTCGATATGGCTTCTGTCACCATTTTATAATCCCTTTTTGAAGGTTTGTCATGCTGTTGGGTGCCCTGCTTATTATTGTTGTTGTTTTTGTAGAGTGTTTCAGCAGTCCACAGTGTTTTCTGGGTTTCTAGATTCAAAACTTGCTCAAATTTTATCTAGCTCCCATTTCCCTTTATTTCACCTTTCCCCATGAATGTCTTCCAATGCTGACTTCATATTTAAGTTTAGAAATGATAACCTTGCCCTCCCTGGATGAATTCAAAGAGAATAGAGCCGCAGAGTATGAAAAATGCTTTATGTATACATTTTTTTTCCATTTTTTAAAAAACCTCTTTGAAAATCCCCAAGTGTTTTAGGTTGCTTTGACTCCTCACTTACTTTTGATCTAATTGTATTTTCCAACAGTTTCCAATTGTTTGAATTGGAAACAAAGCCTTAATAAGAGTTCTAGTTAATTTTCTGTCTTGTAATTACCGATCTCATTTTTCTGATAATTGGCCACAGCAATTATATGTATATTTACTAATCACATAGGAGACTCTGCAATTGTATCTATCTGCCACCATTGATAATGACACACATATTGTAGAGGTGCTTTTATCATCTTCTTTTTTCCACTACATCAAAGCTATTTCCTCGCGTTCTCAATAATGAATCCATGCATGCATTTGACACAGTTGTGTGCGAGAGAAATTGTTTGGCTCCCACCAAATGCTACACGCTCTGAGTTTCTTGCCTGCAGCGCTGGAAGGTTGTATGTAATGATATATTGCTCATCCAAATGGCCAAAGCACTCCAAAGCACAGTGAGATTAAAATAAGTCATTCCTTTGTTAATTTAAATAGGTGCATGTATCATACTTTGCAGGGTACTTTGTGTAGGGATGTCAGGGAGGAAAAAAGCCGCCGAAAGGTATTTTTAATAGCAAATGAGAATAGATGAGAATAGAGTCATTTGCAGCTGCCTATTTTATGTGGCTCTCTTGTTCCAACTGTAGGTCTAATGAGATGACTGTTAAAGTACTCTGCAGTGTAATTTCATTACATCCTGAGCTGTTACACTATAAACACAGTGGAGTTCTCTGTCATTCTTGGAAAAACTCCTAAATTCTTAAAGCCCTCTTTTGCAAATGGTAATGGGGTTTGCTCCCTCGGCTGGGGTTTTTTGTTGTGGTGCTTCCTCGTTGCTTGGGTTTGTTTTGTGCTTTGGGGTTTTGTTTTGTGGGGTGTTTTGTTTGGGTTTGGGTTTGTGTGTCTGTTTGTTATTAGCTCTCTTTTGTGGCCCAGCGGTGGGTTTCTCTTTGTGTCTTTAATCCACTTGCTCCCAGAAAAACGGGTTAAGGGAAAGTTGAACTGGGAGTAGCTGCAAATGAATGGAATTTCCTTTGAAGGGAAAGATAGACCCTTGGTGTGGTTGTGGAAGAAAATCTAACCAGAATGATTGAGGATTTGACTAAGTGGATAAGTAGGCGAAAACATAAATAAATGTAAATAAAAAGAAAAGTGTAAATAAATAGCAAATCCAGTAAAAGAAACAAAGGTCAACACAAGAATAATTTCACAGCTCTTTGTTAATTACAAGACCATTTGTGTGTTACTTAAATAATCATTAATTTCTCATTTACACTTTCCCTACCTTCTTTCCTACCCTGTGGCTATCATTGTCCTTTTTTCACCTCCCTCCCCATCTTCCCTCATGTTTCTCACCATTGTATAAAGTGTGATGCCTTAGATTTGGCATCTTTATACAATCATGTTGAGTTAGTATATAGACTGTCTTTTTAATTGGATGGTGACTTTTTTGGGGGGGAGGAGGGAGCTATTTGTCCTTGTGGTATCTTTTTTATTATTTGGGGTAAGGGAGGAAATAAAGGGAGGGAAGAAAAATTGTCCTGACTTTTTGTGACTTGGTGTTTTGTTTTTTGTTTTGTTTTGTTTTCTTCTCCATCCCAGGATTCGCCAGTCCTTCCGGTTGGAGAGTTCTCCGAACCATTTGTACACTTCATCACTCAGTGGTGAGCCAGTTTGCAAACATACCATGCCCTCCATGTAAATGATACATGCCATTAACTCTGCAGCTCCGTGAGACCTTATGGCTCTCCCTGCTTCCTTTCTGAGACAGGAGGGACTTTGGGGCCTTGGGCAGATGGGGCAGCAAAGCTGAAGAAATTGTTTAAATTATGTAAACGTTATTTACACAAAGGGTCCTAAACGTACTTCAGAGGGTTTTCCCCTGTTTTAATAAACTGCTGAGAGTCAGGCTACTTTTATGAACATGGATGCTGTTGGTGGGTGTGTGTGTTGGGGGGGGTGTTTTAAAACCACATACACATAATTTTATGTTACCTATTGAGTGAAAATGTGAAGCTGATCTTTATTATTAACATGCCCTCATGTTCCCCATAAACCTATCTTTCACTTAAGGTAAGCAGCATAGTTTATGAATTCATTGGCTCGTCAGTAAATTATTTGGCTCTATTTTTCATACAATGTTCTGTGAAGGCCATTTTAATGACTTAGTTGTGAAAAGAGTATATGGCTTGGCTGTGTCTCTTTAACCATTTGAAACTCAAAGAGAATCACAGGATTCTGAGAACTGAAAGGAACCTGAGAACGCGTCTAGTCCAACCCCCTCATTTTACAGATAAAGAAACTTGAGCCACTGTTTCTCCAGGGCCCCCCTCCATTCTGTCTCTCCCCTCCCAACAGAACAGGACTCTCTCACTTCCTTAACCTTCCCATCTTCCTTCAGGATTGATTGACTATGACTGGCTCCTCTGATGTATCTTTAAGCCAGATGTTCTCTTGGAGGCCCTTGCTGGACAGTCAGCTTCCCTCCAGCTGTTTCACAAACAAAGAGAGCCAAGGGATGACCACAGCCTCCAGAGGAAAAGAGCATTAAAGAGTGGGTGGTGCAGGAGTCAAAACCCCATAGTAAGGAGACAGTGCAGATTGGAAACGGGTCCAGACAAGAGGTCCACTCCACACCCACATTCTGCTAACTCCTTTACTGGCTTCCCTCCCTCATCACTTCCCACAAGGAACTGCCAGCCCGTAGTTGTGTTTGCCAGGGGAATGTGAACAGAGGTGTCCTGCCAAAAGATATTTCGTGTGCAGTGTGGTGAACTAATGTGAAGAACAGTCCTTATACAAGTTGGGGGGGGGGAATAAAAAAGGAAAAAAATGAAAATGATCCATTTGGTGATTATGCAGGATTGAAAACAAGAAATATTCCTTAATATAAATGTCAGGCTTTATCACCTTTTTGACTAAGTATAATATGTTATCTCTTAATAAAAATGCACCATACAGTTTATATTCCATAGGAAGACCTTTATAGATAAAAGGAAGGTATTTTTCCCATGCTTTTTGAAGTTTATAGACATTGCTTTTATTTATTTAAAACATCTATAAGATATTTTGTGTTATTATTTATTATTTGCTGTTTTTATTACAAAAATATTTTCATTTTCACACATGCCTAACTGAACCACCACATTGGTTCAAGTCATACTATATCTAAGCTATTTTAAAGTTCATTAATAAAAAAGACAAATTCATGCCATTTAATATTCTACATAATGAATATACCTAAGATTTCTTTTTAAAGCCCATTACCACCTCATAATTATCTCCATTTTAACATGTTGAAATTGAAAAAACAAGCTATAAGACAGACTCACATACTAAGATACTGAATACTGGCTTTGGGGAATCACCCGTTTTGAGGGAAGTGTTGACTTTGCAGCACTGCTCTGAGGCTTAACAAGCTATGTGGTATGACTAACTGATGGGGGCAGGTGGGGTGGGAAGGATTGGGGAGTGTTTGGGCTGCTTCTTCATCTCATCCAAAAAATTAATCAGCTGTTGTATAAAACTTTTATGGAGACAGAGGGAGGGATAACCTGTGCTGAAATTTCCACAGATGTCAAGCTGAAACATAAATGATAGTGGGTAATAGCCTTGTTTTCCCAAGAGATACAGCTCCTTTGGAATGTCAGATTAGGACTGTTACCAACTCTACTAGTGAGACAGCTTGAATTACTTGCTAATGGATGCATTATTTGAGAGGTGCATATGGTTATTTATAGGGAAAGCAAATTGTCCTCGATGTCATTAATGGTTCATAACTATGGTTCTTATTTACCATATGATCATTAAATCTCTCTGTAAAAAAAAAATACTGTCAGCAAATGCAGCGGATTATATACTAAGGGCTTTCTTGCTTGTTAAGGATTGCCTAAAATAAAGGAGCATTCAGAATCAATTTAGCCCAGCCACGTGAGGAAAAGCTTGAGACTCTCTTGGTTACGTTATCCTAGAAATGTGTCAGTGTTTGGGGAGGGGAAGAAATGATCATCCAGTCCCACGGAAGGCAGCTGCCGATGGTCACCTCACTACCTTGTGTTAGTAGCTAAGCACAGTCTACAGCTACTAATTATACCTATTGCTTGGAAAGACAAGAAATATTTGGATGAGAAATGTGATCCCTTTAAGCTGCTTAAATAAACTTAGCTTTCCAACATCTGTTTAATGAATTATCAACTTGCATTGGAGCCAAAATAAATGAAACAATGGGAACAATGTATAATAACCCATTTGTAATTTCATAGCATTATCTAGATTTCTGGCCCCTTTTACAGATTATTTGTCAACTTAAGTCATAATGAAGAAATGAGATGTTGTCTCATTTGACTTGATGATCCTGTCCCTTATCTTACTATTGTTCCAATTTTTGAAAAGAAGAGAATTGTTTCTCACTTCTAAAATAGGAACAGATTCATAACTGAGTTAGGAATAGCATCTTGCTTCCTTTTTCATGTTGGCAGAAAACTAGGATGAATTTTACTTCATTCCTTACCTCTACTTCAAGGACGACCCTGGAAAAATCACCTTTGTTCCTCTGACTCATTTAATGTTCAGCAATTTCAAACCAGTCTGTCACAAGAAAGTACGGTGTTGAAGGGCTAGAATTAGTAAGAGGTCACAAGCTGATGTTTTAGCTGATATATTTCTATCTTTGCCCCATAAATTTAAAAACTATATTTAAATTCTGGGGAAAGTGGCCTGAGGATGAAGCATAACACCTTTGCAAGTTACGTAAATTATATGAAAAGTTTTTTTGTCTTCTCCAGCATGAAGAAGCAACCAAAAGAAAGGCCAGCGCCTGAGGATCTGATGGTAAGTGGACTTCCTCGGAGTCATGTTAATTTCATGTGTCCATGCTCTTGCTTTCTCTTGGGATGGACCACAAAAAGATCACTTTCTTTTTGCCTTTTTCTTCATACACAGGCTGAGTCAGGGCAAATTATTCACCTTGTTGAGGTGGGTGTTTTTGAGACTCACACCTCAGTTATTTTCAGGTTTGTTTGTTGTTGTTTTGGTGTTTTTTTTAAGGCACCATTCTGAAACTTAATGCAGAGGTCTTTCTGTCTGCCCAGTCCAAGGATTACAATTTAATGTAGGTCATTCTTTGTCATTATTTGCCATTGCAACCTTTCCAAATCCGAAGATTAAAACCAGAGGTGGTCAATGTATTAAGTTTTTAATGCAATCCTACAGGAAATGCTGAGCGTGGCATGGATTCCTCTTGGATATGTGCAGGATGAAATTAGATTGGCTGCAAAAGATCAAGTTAATGGGAATCTTTGGTCTTTTCCGTAGAAAGAGGCAACTTCTAGTGCTGTGTTCTCAGCTCCAAGGCAGCCTCCTTTGATTGCAAATGACAGTTGTTAGTCAGGCAGTGAGAGGAACAGAGATGCTTCTCCACAATTCCCAAATGGTCATTTATTTAGTACAGATTGTTGATTTGACAATGCACAAGCTGTCTGAATAACATCAGTATCTAACATTAGTAAGTAATAATTGTAGCCTGTGCTTTTCTGATGTTTTGCACACCAGTCCTACCTTAGAAGAACTACCATCACAATAATTTTCCTTAAATTTTCCTGCGTGTCTTTTAAAAAGTTATATCTTGAGGATATCAGCTGGTGGTTTTTCATCCTTTGTATTACATCCTCATAAGCACTTTTTTAAAATCAAATGCAGTAACAGCACAATTAAATGCCCATAACTTCTTTCCCATGCAGATGTCACCATAGGAAAGTGAAAACTCCAATATTGCACTTTTGCAGCATGACTGCTCTCTAGGAAGGCACTTACCTCCTTAACATTATCCTGGGAGCAACATTTCTGAATTCAGGATAGTCTCAAGTTAAAGTTCACCCCAAAGCTTTCCAATTTATATCCATATGGATTTGGTGCCTAAAGTGAGACTTTTTTTTTTTGGTCTTTTGATGGTTGGAAAATTCTTGCAGTTAGTCACATCTGAGAAAACTTGGAACAGGTTCTAGAGATAGAGACCCATTTACCTTGTGCATTATTATGCTATGGCTGGATAGCTTAGCTATTAAAACAAAGGAATAGGGTTTCATAAAACAGATATCTGTTTGTAAATGCACGTTTCAATGCTGCAATGAGTCGGCCACTTATAAATAAAACATCTGCAGATCACACATACACCCATAAATATCTACGTATGTATATCTTCGTAAGGAACACCACTCCAGGGTGTCAAGTCATAAAGACAGGGCTAAAGGGTGAGCACTTTCAGTGCCTCAGAAGCATATGTACTTGGATATATGTGGCTACATAGCTAGATATATCTCTTTACAACTACACACCCTGGTGTGTGCTATCCCACTTTTATTTTTTTATTAATAAATATCAATAAATCAATAAAATATAATGAAAAATTTAGTCACAGAGAGCATTGTCTTGTACTTAATATTTAACATTATTTCTAGTACTGCTTGCTGTTTTATTTTAAATGGATTTATGCCCAGAGGTGTAACAAGAGTGAGCCACCCATTGCTCCATAAGGGATCAGACACAAGGCAGACAGCGATGGGGACTGTGCTTGGAGTGGCATTCTTATGACTCCTGTGCCTAGCTCCTAGAGGGACTCACAGGGGAACTGAACCCTCCCTGCTTGCCCATGACCAAAGGACTAGGCTCACTGGGCATTAAGGAGAAAATCAAGGTGTCTCTAGCTTGAAGGACAGGACCTCTCATCTTGGGGAGCCCCACTTTAAGAAGGCCCAGTCTTTTTCATTCCTTCCCAGCATATTAATGGCTTTAATTTTTCCTTTCCCCTCTCTGCCTGCAACCTATTTGATGGTACTCCCATCTGGAAGCCGAGGGCCTCCTCAGGAATGCATGAACTGCAGAGCCCATTTGTCACTGTGGGCAGGAGGGAATGGCTTCCTTTTGGAAAAGAACAGTTTATCTCCAGAGCTCGGTGACTCCAACCAGCTGAATATTGGCTTGGCCTGCACAGCTTGGGTTAGAGCAACTTTAAGACTTGTAGCATTGTTGAGGTTTCACCTTATGGTCTTTTTTCAGTTTGATTGAAAAAACCTTAGGTGATGGGGGTGGGACTAACAAAGGTTAAAAAGAAGCCATAGAGTAGGCCAGGCCCCAGCCTTGACCCAGACTAAAGTTAGTGATCACCAACATAAAAAAAATGGAAAATGGGTAATGTGGCTGTTGGGATAACTTTCTCCAGGGTTGCAATTCTATCACTGTCGTTATCACCACTGTAACTGTATTTGAGATCTTGAAACCAGTTGATAATGCAGAGGTTTGAGATGAGAATGTCTAGTCACTGGGCTCCTCTCTTTGCTTGCCTGTTGCCTTTTTTCCAGAATAAATGCCAACCTCCAATACCTATTGTTGCAAGATTCCTTTGGAATTTGGCATCATAGAGCCAAACCTGAGCTCAGATGTGGCCTTTAGGAAACCAACATTCTCACTGGCAGCTGCTAAATCTGGAAAGAAATTCTACCATCACCAAAAGAGCCCTAGTGCCTAGTCTTCTGTTTTCTTTCCTGGACCTATTACACATGTGTGCTTATGCACCTTCCATTAGAGTCAAAGGGTCACATCCGTTCATGGGGAAGATGTGGCTTCTGGTTAAGTGCTTTAAAGACTGACCATTATCAATTTGGTTTCTGCTCAAGGCCTGAGAAAAAAGAGCTAGATATGGATATGTTAACGTTTCCAAAGTGGTAGGATCCCAAGCTCTTTATATTCCTTTGGTGATTAATCAGTGATTAATGAGCACATTTTAAGTTCCCATATATAAATCAAGTGATAGGATTTCTGCTGATGCTACTCTCTGCTCCATGAATTGGGCATGCTTACACTCAGGGAAAGATCTCAGTTCCTGAGGAATGGAGAAACAGAAGATTCAGCTAGTTCTGGGGCCCGCAGCCCTTGTTTTGGGTTAACCAGGCAATGATATTGTGTTACACCTGAAAAAAAATGTTTTTCATTGCCAGAGAAAATAGAAATATTGTCATAGAAAAAAAGAGAGAAAGAAAGAGAGGAAAAGAAAGGAATTCAAAGGGTGATGGTGAAATTACATGTTCAGAATCAATTGTTGTCTCACCAAAGTTAGTGAAGTTACAGGAAAAGACATCAACTGTGGGCCCATAGAACTAGGAAAATACAGAACATATGGGTTGAAAATACTGAAATGAACGGTTTGCATCAGGTTTTCTACCAAAATTCTCTTTTTAAAAATACTTTAAAATAAAATAAAATATTCATGTGAACGTTTAGGAATTTGATTCAGAATACTATAGATTCCCTGTTGGTGTTGGGGAGTTAAGGCTATAAAGACTGCTTATGTTGCTTGGGAAGCATTACTCTTGAGAAATAAATCTTTCTAGGGCTATTTTCTTCTTTAATTTTATTTTTATTCTGAATATAACAGACACCAAATAAAATGGATATTTCCATATACATAGTAGAACAGAGAGGCTGAAACTGCAAGTCTCTGTTCTGTACACTTTTAAGCATATAAATTCAACCTGTAGCTTTCAAAGCTATCTTGCTTGTTTGTACTTCTTTCCAGCCTTCTTTCTGTTCTCTACGTTTTTTGAAGATGCCTCAATAAACTTTCATCCTTCTGTGTGTGTGTGTGTGTGTGTGTGCATGTGTGTGTGTGTGTGTGTGTGCACGCACCACCCTATTTCTATCTCCCGTCATCCTTCCACCCTCCTCCCATTGAAAAAAAAAGAAAAGCACCAAGCCTTTGTCACAAATATTCATAGTCAAGCCAAGCAGATTCACTGGGGATCCTTTCCAGCAGTGTTACTGAACTGGAAGACCAGTTTAGGATCATAGATCTGAGAGGAGCTGTCCAGTCCCCTCAGATCTATGTTCTAGTCCTGGCTCCCAACACTGAACCAGATCATAATATTGGACAAGTCATTCTTCTGGTTTTCACTTTCCTCCTTTGTGAAATAAGGAAATTGACCCTGAGAAGCAGGCTTCCTAGAATCTTGGCCTACAAAGGTGGAGATGTAGTTTATGGATCCCAGAACAGGGCAGGGATTGAGAAGTGGAAGCTTCATTAGCACCAATGAATGAATTTACTCACTCTATTAAATTGAAAACTTGTGAAAAGCCCTTGCAGCTGCTGATTCCAAATGCGGGCAAGGCTTGGAAATGAGTTCAGGGTGGTTCTTTATCTTTGAAGCCAATCAGATGTGAAAAGGTTTGGATTGGCCCCTAGAGCAAAGCAGTATTTGTTTGGTGGTCCCTCTGCCTTGGAGTAAGGGAGGGAAGGGGATGCTTTCTGTTGATTGGGGCCATCCCTGTAGGATTCTCCTCAGTGAAAATGAGCTCTCCATCCAGATTTCAGCCAGACCCCTTTCATCTTCCCCACCACTCCTTCCCTGTCTCATCTTGAATATTGACATGGGCAGAACTGAGTGAGTACACAGTCTGGAAAGGATTTGGAGGGGCAGATATTCATGTGAACGTTTAGAAATTTGACTCAGAATACTATAGATTCATCTATGCATTTAGGCTGTTTTTCAGAAAGGCTTTCCATATCTAAGCTCTATTTAATGGAATCTATGCATAGTAAGTAATCAGGTCAAAAAGAAGCGGCATATCCCCTGTTTGAGATCAATCGCTGGCTAATACTTTATCTAGGCCACTTTATTATCTCATGCTGATTCTATTCCCATTCTCCTCCTCCTTTGTAGCATGCACTTCAGCTGTGGTAAAAGTACGTAGCACATACATATTAAAAACATATACCCATTCTATCTGTATGTAAATGCGTGAGGCACAGCTGGATATTGCAGAGGAGTTTGATTTACTAA